TATTTCTTTCTTTCCCTCATGTCCCTTTTTGTCCCTGCCTTCTGCTCTCGTCCAGCCTGTCTTCTGTCTCCAAGTCCTTTCTGAATCCATTACTTAGCAGACCTAAGAGCTCTGTGGCTTCAGGAAAGTTGTTTAAGTTTTCTAAGCCTCAGTTTCCTGCTGTGAAAATGGGAGTAATGCCTATTTTATAAGGTTGTTGTGAGGATCAACTTTACTATTAAAATTTAGGGACTATTACTCATTAAAAGGCAAGTCCTACTTGCAAAGTTTAGGTATTGTTTGTGTACATTTCCCAGAAACATATTCTTGGTGAAAGCCTCCTGGGGAGGTCTTCTAGATAGAAGGGACTTTACAATCACTGATGTGCCTATGATGTCCTCAGAAAGCAGAATCACATCCCAGGAAGAGGCAAAACAAAGTTTGTTTTTGGTTGTCAATTGTGTTTTACTCACTGCTGCCAAGAAAACGTGGTTTATACTACAGATCATTAGGTAAATGCCAAATGTGTCCTAGGGTGGTCTTAACCTAGCACCCATATACTTACCCGCAGAACAAAGCTGAGGTCCATAGAGTAGGGTTTTTCTTATTGTGTGGTCCTGCAGCTGTTGCTTCATTTTTTTGTGTGTGGGCAAGTAGTCCGGCTTGTAACACTGTCTGCACTGGCCAGCCACTGGCTCTATCAGGTTACTCCCATGGAAAAGGCTGTTGTATATTTCCTGAGCTCTATATCTCATTTCCTGAGCATTTTTTTGTTTTTTTGTAACCCTCACTTTTCCTTCAGCCTCTAAGCCAGCACTGAAATGGCAGAAGACACACTCAGCCTTTCAGCTCTTTTGGTGTTCTTCTGTGGTTGGCCCAGGTCTTTTGGAGTAGTCTGACTGGCTACATCATTCAGCAATGCCAGGAAAGTGTTGCAATGCTGTAATAACCAACTGGTTGCCTAGAAACCAAAGTCTATGTGACTGAGGTCCCCAAATTGACAAAGCTCCGTGACTTGCTTCAGGATGATTTCTTGGTTCTGGAATGCTGCCTCTCTTGTTTCATTGAATTTTCTAAAACTGAATTAGATTGTTCTTTGGGAAGCAAATCGGGGTGATTTGGAAAATCAGTTATGCTACAAGTGGCCACTCCTCCACATGGTTTGGCTGGCTGAGAAGAAAGGGGTGTTAGTGTTAGAAAGGCTTCAAAAGACACCGATGGCTTTGTGGTGAGAGAGGTGAGATAGGGAAGAATGACAGAGAAATACTGCTGAGTTAATTGGGAGACCATTCGTTCTTTACGCTCTCTGCACCATCATTTAGGACACTGCCCTAGGAATAAAATTCTACTCAAACCTTGACTAATGGGAGCATGAGAGAGTAGATTTTCTGTTCCTAGGCAAATCAATCTCATAATTAGTTCAGCATTGGGGCACCTTAAATGCAGAAGTCAAAAGGTATAAAGAATTCTGGTATATAGGTCTTTTTAAGAGTTTCATTCAACATCTTGATGGAAATTTTCACTGGGTTTTTAAAAGTTTATTTCAATATAAAGATGCTTATAGAAAGATACTCATAGTGGTTAATATAATGCAATTTAGTTTAATTTACTCTATGCAATTTGGACCAAAAATTTGGTGCATAATTTAAGTTAAAAAAGGATTTGCAATCTGGTTTATTTTCATCTATTATAAATATAATAAAGATCCTCCCTCAAAAGCTGTTAAAGCAGTCATCAAGATCCATGAGCAATTTATTTTTGGTTTACTTCTAAATAATACACAAATTGTACTGTAAAAGCTTAAAAGTTGGTGAAGCAAAACATTTTTGGAATGTTTCAGTGCCAGCTAATATATTGTGTAGCAGGGAGAAGCCTGTTTTGTGTGTGTAACATATGAAACACTTATGATAGTTAACCCATTTTGGTTAATATTGTATGTAGCTTATAAATATACAAAGACAAAGACTGAAGTAATTTTCTAAATCTGAGTGTCAGTGGTGTGCTGGAGCTGACTTGTACCACTTTCTGAGAGTTGACTGTGCATGTCTCTTCCCAACTCCACTTTCCTTGACATCAAGTCGGTAGCATGAAATTGGCCATGGTGGGAGTATCTACACTGTAGGAATCAGCTAATGCCACTAATTAGGGCTTTCTTGCACCCACCCCCTCCACTCTGAAGCCAGTTACTAAGCAATTACAAGTATACCACATCATTGATTAACACTATCAGTTCATCCTCTGAGGTCAAGAAGGAAACTCAAGAAGAGTTGTTGGTTTTGATTTTTATATACTAAAGAAATATGGGTTTCATCTGTAGGTTTTCAGTCTAGAACTGAAACTATAGTATAGGCAAGGAGTACCTTCCATATTCAATCTGCATGGGTGACAGGTCATAGAGTCTATGTGGTTTTAATTTGCAAGTACTTATATGCAAACTTCCCAGAGTTTAAGGGCAATGGGACTCTTGAAATGACTTTAGAAATAAAGGTGCCCTTCTTGGAAGATTAGAACAGACCATATGTTCATAGTAATAAGAAACTTTCTAAAAAACAAAAACAATTCGTTCCCAAAGAATAAGAAACTCTGAAAAAAGAGGAAAACCATTTTAAATATATTGGAAAACAATAGTTTAAAATATGTAGGTAAACAACATCGACACAGGTTCAAAGATAGTTAATGGAGAAATACATTTTTACAAGACTACCAGATATTTGGCTTATACTGAATGCTAGTTGTTAACTCACAGGCAGTAGATTTTAAAGAATTGGTGGGGGTTAACCATCACCTTAACAAAGCTGAAAGCAAGAAACATTTCTCTTTATTTTACTTTTTACCCTTCCTTTTCAACCTCTTTCTTCTAATAATTAACATAATGTCTCTACTACAATCTACTGGTATAGGTCTAAACCAGGGTTCAATATCCTTTCTCTGTAAAGAGTCAGATAGTAAATATTTTAGGCTTTGTGGATCATAAGATCTCTGTCACAACTACTCAACTCTGCAGTTGCAGCATGAAAGCAGCCACAGAGGTACATAAATGAATAAGTTGTGGCTGTGTGCCAATAAAACTTCACACAAAAACAGATAGCCTACTGGATTTGGCATGCAGAGGCTCTGGCTTGCTGACCTCTTGTCTAGACTGCAAAATGTGGGAATGTTGATCCTGCTTGGGAAATGCTAGTGTATAGAGAAATGTTTGGCAAACAAGGGAGAGGGATGAGGATATGTATCAGAATCACCTGTCACCCATATCTTGTCTTTGCAGAATCTCTTATTCCAGGCTGATCAGAGACAGGATTTAGGTATTGCCTGGTTTTCTGGCCAATACACATTTTAACATTATTAGAAATACTGTATACCATCCTGTCCCCTAAATACATTACAAGAAGTGTTTCCATCTCAGTCCTTCCCATGTGATCTTATGGAAGCATGGCTAAAGAGTATTTTTAATTGAAAAAATATCAAAAGCCACAAGATGCAAGCAATTTTTTTTCTGAGAGAACTATCAGCTGTTAAATTAAGAACAGTAAATAAAACATTGCCCAGTAAATTATATTATTATTTAATATACACTTAAGTGTCCTTACTATTTCACTTAAGGGAAATAAAAGCACAGGGAAAAGAGGATAAAAAGAGGGGAGTAAAAATGCATTCTTTATAGAGTTCCAAATAGTGATAGGTTCCCCAAATGACAGGTATAGCCACTAATCACAGGGCAATATTTACCGGTTCAGAGTGGAATAAACTATTTTTCATATATCAAAAATTTCAGCCACATCTCACACACAGTTACTATGTGTCTCTTAATATAGATTTAATGAAGGAGGGCCTAGCATTTTTCTTTTTATAGTCCTGTATCTGAAGCAGTTATCCTTAAGGAGACAACAACTGGGAGATTATAAAAATTATCTGGGGAGCTTACGCTGCCAAAAGTCTGACATTCCATCTAAGGGGTCACCTGTCCATCCCCCAGAAACTGCCTCAGCAAGCTATTATTACAGATGGGAATGTGATTTATCAGTGTGTTGGGGCAGAAAAAAATGGTTAAAAACTGCTGATGGAAAGTAGCTAGATAGACAAATGCATGCATAAGGCTATATCCCTGATAAAAGGCAGGACGCATGCTTTATATCCACAGTAGGCAGGAAAAACTTCAGTAACTTCATTAATCAGGGTACCTTGAATGTGTTAAACTGCTAGTTCATTTACTCTCACATTTTGAATTATTGCCACAAAATGCAAGAAAACAGGCCTGATAACATTTATAACATTCTGGGAAGGCAATGGGGCCATTATAGAAGCACAGATACTTCGGATCAGTCCAGTCTGCTCTGTTCAGTTAAATTAGTTACCTCTTCTCTTTCCAACTCATTTTGATTTACTCAGCTAAGTTCTCTGTTCACAAGGCATCCAGGAGCGAAAATGAGACACATATGCAAAAAAAGAAAAAAAGTACAAGGTAGAAGGTAATAAGTTTTCCAGGCTAAATAGGGAGTGCCAGGGACATTCATAGGTGGAAGACATGACATTAAGGTTGGAGCAGAGCGTCAGGCAAAGCCCCATTCATCATTTCCCAAGCAGAAAAGCAGTTAGTCGTGTGCTGGGACAAATTAGATACTGACTTTTGGTAACACTGTTATAAAAAAGGTATTACTTAGCTCTCTAAATTTGTGATTTCAACAGTTTCTGAAATGTAAGTTTGTTACATCTTGGAATCAAAGATTGCTCTGTTGGAGACCTTCCCCATCAGACAGTGGGAATCAGTTTGGGGAAAAGAGGTTATTCTGTTTTACTCCGTCTGAATGTGCTCTCTCGGTTGTTTCCAGCCATATAGATCTGTTACCAAATCTATATGGTCAAGATTATTTAGGGCTTTGGAGGAAAGTTAGGGAGACCTTCTGTTCCTCAGCAGGCATTTGGGCAGCAGGTGAGGAAGTGAGATAGATACGCAAGCGTGGGCACGCCTGCACACACGTGCGCGCGCGGGCACACACACACACACACACAAACACAGACACACACAGACACACACACACACACACACAGCTGACTTGGCAGCTGTGAGGTTGGAGGTGGGGAACTCATTGCCTGCTAAGCTACTTAACACTTCAAGTGCCTGCACTTCTGAGGCTGAGTTTGCAGCCTCCAGCATGTTTAGAGTTAATTCCTATTAGGTTGGACTCCGCCCCTCTTTCCCAAAGGTAAAGAAAGCAAGATTTTCAGGCATCACTGCAAAGAGCAGCTGGGATTCCCATCCCCGGCTGACATCTGACAAGCTGTGAGGAGAAGTTGTTTCTCAGATCTGAGCCCGGAAAAGAGGGAACAAGTCAGTCTGCCTTCGTGGTCAGAAGGTAAATATGCAACTTGGGCCAAATGAAATTGAAACAGCTGGATAAGAAACTGCTTTTGCTCTCCCCTTGCTGGGCCCCGTTCTCCCCTTCCTTTCTCAGGCTTCCTGTTCTTTCATCTCCACACTCAGAGAAGCTATTTTCTTCCCAAGGGCAGCCTGGTGCATTTTTACTTCCTCATAGTCTGTTGTTTGCACAGAGGCGAGGAGGGATCAGGCTGGATTCCTATTTCATATTGACAAGGTTCGAGGACCTAAGGGTTAAGTTCTAGTTGTTTCCCCAGGGGAGTTGGTAACCTGAGGAGAGGAAGTGCAGGTCTCTGGGAGTAAAGGGAGGGATTTTGTTCTGACCTGTCTATAAAGTAAGAATGGATCCGGTTTACTGGTGTGGTAGTTTGATCTCTTAGACTTGCCTAAACTGGAGTTATGGAACTGAAACAGAGTGATGAGGTTAAACTGAAATGCAGATATTGAGGCCAGTCGGGCTGGAAATAAAAGATTGCACTCATTCAGTAAATATTTGTCAGTTCCTACTATGTGCCAAGCATGATGATTTCCAGAAGAACCTGAAATAGTTTAATTATAAATCCATTCTTGCAAAAAACACTTGGCCAAGTGCTTCTATTTCGTGGTGGGAAACTGAAAGCAGCAAGAAGCACAAGAGTGAAGAGTAATCACCAATAGAGTGGGTGTGGGGGAGGAGGGGACAGGAGTGATATTCTGCTTCTTGATGACTTCAAGCCTTGAATGGGGTCTTTTCCGATCCAGGGGGAGAATTGACACCCATTCTGCTGTTAGGTATACCCCAGATGTTGTTTCACTTGAACTTTATGCTCCATCATCTCCATTTTATAAAGGAAACTGCAGCTCAGAGGTTTGAAGTGATCTTCTTAAGTTCACATAGTCTGTAAGGGCCGGACTCTCAGGTCTGATCCCCAAATCTGGACTTTTTTTTTCCCGCTAGCTAAAACAGTATTCCTCAATCATTAGTTCCCATCAGAATCAACTGAGGATTTAAACAAATATGCAGATTCCCATAAATTTGAATTCGGTGTATCCGGGAGGGGTGTCATAGTCTGCATCTTGAACGACCACTCAGGGTGATTCTGATGCAGGGGAGTTAGAGCCCCCACTTTGAGAAACACTCTTGATATACCACGCTGCCTTTCAACTCCTCTGAAGTGGTTGGGGAAGTATTCAGCCCTTCTCCTTCCCCCACTGGCCAGACTCTTTCAGTGGAGGTGATCAGCCGTGGTAGCATTTTATTTTATTTCCAGCTGAGGCCATGAGGTAGAGGGATTGGGCAACAATAGCAGGGCTGGGGCTATGAACCGAAGGGTGTGGGGAGATGATTTACCAGTTAGTGCATTGTCGTTAGGGCTTACCAGTGTCTTGCCAAGGAAGCTGGTAGGAGTAGCTTTAACTGGCTGCAGGTGTGAGGTAGGACTCCTAGTCAACCAATTGATCCCTGAGTGCGGTGGCATCTGTCTAACCCAAGTAAGAACTGGGATGAAGATCTCTAGCTGGCACCCTACTTTCCAAAGCATAAGCCAGATGGGGAGCTCACTGAGCAGCACTTTTGGGGGAGGGAGGAGAAGCTCATATGAAATTGGGGAAATCATTTCAATTCCCAAGTTTCCAACTTCAAACTCTGGAGAAAAGAAATAGCCCAGGATCTGATGTGGAGGTTGTTTTTATGAGCTCTCAGTCTCTGCATGGCCAACTCTACTATTTAGAGTTGACTGTGTAGGTTATCAGAGCTTGGGTGGTCCTCTCTTTTCACTTACTCTCTGGCTTCCTGCTTTTTAATGCCTTGCTTGCTTGTGAGCATCTCCACCAATGGAGAGATGCAAATAAATAAACCCAACACAGCTAGTTTTGCTAGTCTTTCTACCCCAGACTAAATGAAGAGGGAAGGAGAGAGAAGGCCTAGGAAGAAGTTTAGCAAGCATGAAAGCTAAGGAATTTGAAAGAAAAGACTTCAGCCAAATGTGAGGTCTTAGAGTCACTGAGATACAAATGAAAAATAAAGCTCTTTAGGCCAGTTGATTAGAGTGCAGCCTTGTAACACCAACGTCAAGAGTTTGGATACCTGCACTGGCCAGTGCCAAAAATAAATTAAAAAATAAAAAATAAAGAAAAGCCCTTTGAACATCTATATCATGAGATGATTTCAGGAACAGGAAAACCCAGAGAAACTCCCATTGTGGATATATCCAGATGAGAAGAAACTTCTGAGGGCACAGGTGGCAGAAAATGAGGAGAGAACTGTCTAGGAAATGGTAGTGGATTTTTTTTTCTGAGGCTGTGTCTGAAGCAGAAAGATATAAAATGCTCAGATTGCTTGTATACCCAACTTAATATGAGGGGTCACATCAATCAAAGACATTTCTCTGGAGCAGGACTCTACCCACTGAAAACATATGCCTGCCTATCTTGCTCATTTCCTAGGGAAGTCTCAACACTGGGTAAGATGTATTTGTTACAGGATTAGCAGGTAGACAATGCACACTGCCTGGCAACATGAGGAGAAAGGCCTGTTCACATTCCTTTGCCAACACCAGTGCCAATAAAGCTGCTCCCCCCAGACCAGTCCTAAACAAGCAATTCTGCAGCTATGTTTTCGTCAGCAGCTGCAAGTCAGTGACTCCCTTTCTGGCCACTTTATGTTCTGGTCTTTAACTCACTGGCTGTTTTGCCTGGACCCTGTTGCCCTTAGTAATGTGGTGCCTTCCTTAACTCAGAAGTTGCATGACAAGCCCAAGTGAGAACAAAAGGATTTGTGTCTTTTTCTGTGGGCACTGGGGAGGAGGTGAGATAGAGAAAGCAGTTTGTTTCTCTCTACCAAGAAAAATATAAAAGCAATGATTCCAGTTTCATTGATCCTTATGTGCCCACATACAAGTAGGTACACATGAGAGTGAAAAAGTGAGAACAAATGATTGAAGCCTTGACAATATAACTCCACAGGGACCGGGTGAATGCTCATTTTGGGGAAAAAAAAATGCTAAAGGTCACCTAACAGCAATGTGAGTTAATGAAGTGCTTTCATCTGGAGGACAGTGGCCAGCTGTTCTCTATCCCCTGTGAGGACCCAACAAAAGGAACTGGCTTGTTGTAGTAGGAAAGGTTTAAAAAGGGATATAATCAATGACATATTGACAGAGTTTTTAAGCTACTGAGAAAAATTGTATACTCTCTTTCCCCAGAGTTCTTTAAAAGCAGTAGAGATAACCATTTGACATGTATGGCTTAGGTGGGTTTCCTGCACTGCATAGATTGAGGTGACCTCTACCCATGTGTTAGAATGACTAGCATATCTCTAAAGATTAGTGAACATTAGGCTTTAGGAAGGACAGTAACTTCAGAGCAGACCTCATGCTTCCACCATAGTGATTACAACTTTCTGGCCACACTCACTGCATTTCATAGAACCACTCTCAGAAACGCATGTGACCCATTTAGCAGATGGAGAAACTGAGGGATGAGAGATAATGTAAACACCTAGAGAGAGAGGTCCAACTGCAATCCTAGCAATGCCTGGTTACTGGACCAGTCAGCAGGAGCAGCAAGGTGAGTTCTTGATTCCTGAAATTCCTGAAATCCAGTATGGCTATGTGGCTAGACATTCCAGGAGAGGGAAACAAAGCTGTTGCATACATGACATATAAAGAGGAATTAAGATAAAAGGAAGCATAGAATTGTTTGTGATTTTTATTTATGTAAATACAAAGTGACTCAGCCAGTTTCTGGAAATGAACTTGGGTTGCTCTTGTGGGCTGTCATGAAGGAGATTACTCCATTGCAGGCTATGGAACTAAAAGCATTTGCTAGAATGCACTTCCCTGTACATGCACAGTGTCCCTTCACAGACTTCACATGTCCTCCTGCCTTCCTATCCAGCCACAGGAGGAGCTGTGCGGGAACTCATTTTGTGCTCAGAAAATATTGAGCAATTGGAACTCTGAGAGCTCTTCCTTGACTGGATGCATAAGGTCAAGCCTATGATTTAGAAAACTTTGCATTCAAAGTATATAAATTTCATCTCTCTAACGTTTAATTCCATGGGCACTTTAAAACATTTATTTATTTATTTTAATTGACACATTGTAATTGTACATACTTATGGGGTCTAATCTGATGTTTTCTCACATATATAGGTCGTATAATGATCAGGTCAGTGCAGTTAATGTATCAATCACCTATGCATTTATCATTTCTTTGTGGCAAAAACATTCAAAAGCCACCCCTCTAGCTATTTATGTAATATACAAAACTTAATTGCTAACCATAGTCACCCTACTGTGCAATAGAATATCAGGACTTATTCCTCTTATCTAATTGTAATTTTGTACCCATTGGCCAACCTCTCCTTGTTTCCCCTTTCCCCCTCCCCTCTCCAGTCTCTGGTAAGCACTGTTTTACTCTCTGTCTCTATAGCACCAACTTTTTTTTTTTTTTTTTTTTTTTTTTCACATTATGTTTTTAAATGGCCTTTTTTGGTAATGTTTGTATTGTGACTGCCACTGCTCTTTTGGATCTTAGAAAGCTCCCAGATATCCTTTATCTAATGTTCCCACAGACCAAATGATGCTATGGAATGG